CCTTTCTTCCTGACGCGCGCCCGGAGCGCGCGGCGTTTTTCATCCCGCCGTGCGCTCGGGGCGTGCGGCGGTTTCCTGCCCGCCGTGCGCCCCGAGGCGCGCGGCGGTTTCCTGCTTCACGCGGCGGTTTTCTGCCCGTCGTGGCGCCCACGGGGACCTGCGCGCTGCCCCCCCCCCGTCGCCCGTCGCGGCGCCCTGGGGGCCCGCGCGTCGCCCTCTTCCCGTCGCCTCGTTGCGGCGCCCTAGGGGCCAGCGCGCCGGCCCCTCCCGTCGCCTCGTCGCGGCGCCTTGGGGGCCCGCGCGTCGCCCCCTCCTGTCGCCTCGTCGTGGCGCCTTGGGGGCCCGCGCACCGCCCCCTCTCGTCGCCTCGTCGCGGCGCCTTGGGGGCCCGCACGTGGCCCCTCCTGTCGCCCGTCGAGCCGCCCTCGAGGGCCCGTGCGCGGCCCCCCTCCCCTCGCCCGCGCACCTCTTACCCTGCCCCCCCCCCCGTCGCGCACTTCGCGGCCTCGCCCCGGCCCCGTCGCGGCCACTTCGCGGCCTCTTGAGGCCACTTCGCGGCGTCGCCCCGGCCCCGTCGCGGCCACGTCGCGGCCACTTCGCGGCCACTTCACGCTCTGTCCTGCTCTACCGCCCCCACCCCCCCCCCCCCAAGTCCCCTGGACAGGAGGGTGTGGGGGTGGCGGGTGTGGGGGTGATACATGTGCGTCGTCCCTTCCTTCTCCTCCGTCTCCCACTGCTGCAGCTGCTGCTGAGGGGGGTGGATGTGTGGGAGCCGAGGGGAGTGGCGCTAGGGGGGTGCCGTGGTAGTGGAGCTAGGGGTGCAGCAGTGGGTGTGTGAGAGGGGTGTGGGACGGTCGGGGGAGGTTGCGTGGAGGCTGCCGTCGTGTCGCCTGCAGCGCCAGTAGTCCGGAGCCGTCGTGCTCTCGGTAGCCCAGCGAGCCTGCTGTGCCTGTCGCTCGTGGGTCCGTTGCTCTTGCCGCTCCTCGTAGCCGCCGAGCCAGTTACTCCAGTAGTCCGGGGCGCTGTCCCGGTAGCCACTGTGTGCGCGCTCCTGTTGCCCGTGTGTCTGCAGCTTCAGCCGTCGTCTCCAATCTTCTCTCCCCTCACAGTCCCTCCTCCTCCTCACTTGCCCTCTGTGATTACCTCTAGCTTTGCTTATAATTGTGAACTATTGCTATACCTGCTCATTGTGCTGATTACACCCCACTTTGGCTATGGGGGTGTGTCAGAATGTTATTATTGTCTAGCCTGCAATGGGGTACTCTATAGCGAGTACAACCCAATTAGGGTTTCCTATATGTACGCCAACTGCTGCTAGTGCAACCACTCCTTTCCTCTTTTCTGTTTCTCACTGACTAGTTTTGACAGTGAGGCTGCTGCTCTAGGTGCTGGTGCGTCTCCGAGTCCAGGTGCCGGTGAGGCTGCTGCTCTAGGCGCTAGGGAGTCCACTCCTCCAGGTGTTGGTGAGTCTGCTCTCTCTGGTACTGCGCCTGCTGCGGCCTTGCACACTTTCACCCTTGACTCGGGTGCTTCCCGCTCCTTCTTTCGCGACTGCACCACACTCTCGCCGCTCAGTCGGCCAGTGGCAGTATCTCTGGCTGACCCCTCTGGGGGTCCGGTCCTTGCACACTCCTCCACGGTTCTGATGTGTCCGGCGGTCCCTTCTGGCTCTCTGTCTGGCCTCCACCTCCCCTCATTCTCCACGAACTTGGTGAGTGGAGCTGACCTTCAGGATGCGTGGGTTGACCAGTTCACTCCTGGAGGTCAGCGGTTGACCCACTGTTCGTGTACTCGCACAGGCCGGCACCTGGCCACGTTCAATCGTCAGCCTGGGTCGAGCCTGTACACCCTGTCTACCGTGTCTCCTCCGGTTGCTGAGTCTGGTCAGGTAGACGCGTCGGGTCAGGTGTTTACTGCAGCGTCCCAGTCTGGTCCTGAGTCTGCCCCCTGCTCGTGTCGCCTCCTGTCTCACCAGACTCTACTCTGGCACCACCGCCTTGGTCACCCCTCCCTGCCTCATCTCCGAGGCATGGCCTCCCGTGTCCTTGTCACTGGTCTTCCCCGGTCTCTCCCTCCCCTCCCCCCGGGCCCTGCCCCTACCTGCGTTCCTTGCATCGAGGGTCGGCAGCGCGCCGCCCCTCACTCCTCCGAGTTTCCTCCCACGGAGGCTCCCTTGCAGACTCGTCACATGGACGTGTGGGGCCCAGCCCGCGTCTGTGGACAGGGTCACGAGCGCTACTTTCTGCTGGTCGTTGACGACTACTCCCGTTACACCACAGTCTTCCCCTTGTGCCGCAAGGGTGAGGTCACTGAGGTGCTGATCGACTGGATCCGCGATGCCCGTCGTCGGCTCAGTGAGAGTTTCAGCTCGGACCTTCCTGTTCTGAGTCTGCACTCCGACAGAGGTGGAGAGTTTTCCTCCGACCTTCTGCAGGCCTTCTGACGTGCGGGGGGCATCCGCCAGACGTTCACGCTTCCGGCCTCTCCTCAGAAAAATGGGATTGCTGAGCGCCGCATTGGCATGGTCATCGACGTCGCTCGTACGTCCATGATCCATGCGGCTGCTCCCCATTTTCTGTGGCCGTTCGCGGTTCAGTATGCGGCGCATCAGATCAACCTCTAGCCCCGGGTCTCCGTGCCGGAGACCACACCTACTCTGCGGTGGACGGGGAAGGTTGGCGATGCGTCTGCGTTCTGTGTCTGGGGATCTCGAGGTTTCGTCCGCGACTTGTCTGCGGACAAGCTGTCCTCCCGTGTTGTTCCCTGCGTCTTCCTTGGCTTCCCCCCTGACGCGCCTGGTTGGCAGTTTTACCACCCCACCTCGCGACGTGTTCTGTCCTCTCAGGACGTCACGTTTGACGAGTCGGTTCCTTACTACCGTCTCTTCCCCTACCGCGCTGCCCCCCTCCCCCCCCCGCCGCTCTTCCTCACGCCAGGTCCTCCCCCGGTAGACCCCCTCCCCCCTCAGGGTCCTGCCCCCTCAGGTGTGTCCCACGTAGACGCAGTCAAGCCTATCGAGGTAGCTGTTGACTCTGGTGCTGCTAGGGGTGCTGAGCCTGCGGGTGCCGGGTCTGGGGGTGCTGAGCCTGAGCGTGCGGAGCCTGGGGGTGCTGAGTTTGGGGGTGCTGAGCCTGGGGGTGCTGAGTCTGGGGGTGCTGAGCCTCGGGTTGCTGAGTCTGGGGGTGCGGAGCCTGAGGGTGTTGAGCCTGCGCATGTGGAGTCTGGAGGTCCTGCGCCTGGAGGTCCTTCGGGTGCTTCGTCCTGGCGAGAACCACTCTCTCCACAACAGCTGCGCGAGTGGTTTGCTCGCCGCTGGAGCCGTGCTGCTGGAGTTGGTGGTGCTACGGGCGCTGGAGGTCCTGATGCTGCTGGAGCTGCTGGGGGTTCTGGAGCCATTGGTCCCGGAGGTGCTCGTACTGGAGGTACTGGAGCTGCTGCGGCTGCAGCTGCTGGAGGTGCTGGAGCTGACGGTACTACTGGACCAGGTGCTGCTGGAGGTGCTGTCCCTAGCGCTGCTGGAGCTGCTGGGGTTTCTGGTGGTCCTGCTGAAGCTGGAGGTGCGGGAGCTAGAGGTGCTGCTGGAGCCGGTGCTCCTGGGGGTGCTGGAGTTGGCGCTTCTGGTGCTGCTGGAGTTGGTGGTGCTGCTGGAGTTGGAGGTACTGCCACTGGGGGTGTTGGTGCTGTCCCTGCTGGTTCTGGAGGAGCTGCACGGCCGCAGCCGTACTACGTTCCGCTCCTTCAGCAGGTTCTTGGTCTTCCGCCTTCTCCTGGTCCTGCTCCTTCCTTAGAGTGTCCACCGCCGTCCAGTCGTAGTCACAGTTACAGCCCGCCTCCCCACTACCTGCTCCTTCTCCTTACACTGGTCCGACCGGAGGTCTTATTGAGCGTCGTGAGCCTGAGTCTCGTCCTGCGTCGCCTGTTCGTGCTGCTCGCACTGGTCGTCGTGGTTCGCGTCAGCGTCCTCCTCCTGTCCCTGGCACGCACCAGATGGCTGTGCGTCCGTCCACTGCTCCGCAGCGTGTCCCTCTGCCGTCTTCTCCTGCGTCCTCTCTTCCTGCCCTTGCTGACCCGGAGTCTGACTCCCTTCATGCTGCTAGTCCTACATTCACGCGTCTCCTGGCCACTGTTGTCACTGACCCTTCCTTTGAGTCCACTGCTGCGTCTGCCTTGGTTGCTGAGCTTGTCGACTTTGCTGCTCACTATCGTCTAGACTACGGGCAGGGCACCGTCGCGCGCCACGGGGTGCACGACGGGCAGATCAGGGCGTCACGTTGCCCCCAGGGCGGCGCGACGAGCAGAAAACCGCCGCGCGGCCGTGCGCGTAGGAAGAAAAATGGCCGCGTGCCATGGGCGCGCGGCAGGCAGAAGGACAGCGCGCGCCCGAGGCGCGCGGTAGGCAGTTAAGGCAGCGGAAGTATTGGTAGGCCTATCAACAGGATCGACCCAGGAGGGTCGACCTGCTCTGATTCCATGTCGAAAGACTAGGCAAAAAAAAATAGAAACGAGAGGATTGCACTAGCAAGCAGTTGAGTACATATAGCAAACCCTAAATTGGGCTGTACTCACTCTTGAGTACCCCACTACAGGCTAGACAAACATAACATTCTGACACAAATAAAGATAATGTGACGACAACAAAATTAGGATACTTAGTTACATTATATATTTATTCATCAAGTATACATTTACATCAGCAGGATCGAAAGACTTCACGACATGGACATGACCTAGAATAGATTCTATAGGGATAACAATGAGCACGCGAGGGCTGTAAGGACAGAAGCGCACGCATCCAGTCTTTGCGTCCACGTCCGCTATCTTATAAAATTCCACGTATTCAAGATCATGACGCTGCCCTTCTTGGAAACAATGGAATAACAACAGCAACTTTGCGTAGGCCACTCTCTGCCCCTCACACCAAACAGCGATGCCTGAATACCAGGGTCTTATGACACTCGGGGGTTGCTCTCACAAAATGAGCCACCTTTGAGGCATTCTTCTCAGTTGACGCTGTACTGCCATCGTTGTGTGGGTCTGCCACAAGATCACACAAGACGCATTAGTATATGTACTTGTGCAGATTATGTTACACAACAAATGAAGAAAAATAATAAGACATACAAAAGAGAAAACTTTGTTAACCATGAACCATACTTGAATGGATTGCGAAGTAATGCCGTAATCTGCAAGGGCATTACGCAATGCTCTGTGTGCTGTTGGGTGCTCCCGAGACCACCTTGATGCAGATAATTTAGCGGATGTGGGGTCACTTGCTGGAGAAATAGCAAGTGCTTCAGATTCCCTCGTCAAGACGACTCTTCCTGTGTCCATCGCCTATGGTGGGGTGGGTATGGATTCCAGAGAAGAGTGTGAGGGCATGTGAGGGCAGGGAGGAGGGTGAGGGCATGGGAGGACAGAGAGGAGGGTGAGGGCATGGGAGGAAAGAAAAGAGGGTGAGGGTATGGGAGGGCAGAGAGGAGGGTGAGAGGATGGGAGGGCAGAGAGGATGGTGAGGGTATGAGAGGGCAGAGAGGAGGGTGAGGGCATGGGGAGGGCAGAGAGGAGGGTGGGGGCATGTGAGGGCAGAGGGGAGGTTGAGGGCATGGGAGGGCAGAGAAGAGGGTGAGGGTATGGGAGGGCAGAGAGGAGGGTGAGTTTATGAGACGGCAGAGAGGAGGGTGAGGGCATGAGAGGGCAGAGAGGAGGGTGAGGGCATTTGAGGGCAGAGAAGAGGGTGGGGGCATGGCAGGGCAGAGAGGAGGGTGAGGGCATGGGAGGGCAGAGAGGAGGGTGCGGGTATGGGAGGGCAGAGATGAGGGTGAGGGTATGAGAGGGCAGCGAGGAGGGTGTGGGTATGGGTTTGGAGCAGAGAGGAGGGTGAGTGTATGGGAGGGCAGAGAGGAGGATGAGGGCATGGGAGGGCAGAGTGGAGGGTGCGGGTATGGGAGGGCAGATATGAGGGTGAGGGTATGGGATGGCAGAGAGGAGGGTGAGGGTATGAGATGGCAGAGGGGAGGGTGAGGGCATGGGAGGGCAGAGAGGAGGGTGAGGGCATGGGAGGGCAGTGAGGAGGGTGAGGGTGCACGAGGGCAATGATGTTTATGAGGGCAGGGAAGGGTAGTGAGGTTCAACACAAACACCATCTTAGTTTGTGTTTGTTACCTGCTGCATGATGGTGTAGCGAACCCCGTGTTCGTCCTCCAATGTGATAAACGCCGCACTCTTCTCGTGATGTTTCATGATTTGTGCATCGGCATTGCGCTTGTTTGAACGTCGGTATATTCTTTTAAGAAGGGGGCCGTGCAAATGCTCCCACATGTTCGTCGAGTACTCTGACACATGACCCGCCCTCCGAATAGCGGGCACATAATGAGAGAGGAGGTGAGTTTTTATTATGCACCAACTAGATTTTTGTGTTGGAAAGGCTTCTTGCAACTTAGCCACAAGACTCTATAGGTTGGGGATGGGGAAACGGGGTGCGTGCAAAAGGATTTAAGAGCATTCAACAGGCTGAGTTTAGTGTCGGAGTGTGAAACTGAAACTTTAGTAGCCAAACAGAGCTTGAAGAACACCTATGCCACTCCCTCCATCGGGCTCTCCCTTTACCTGTCAGTTGCACGATAAGAACGGCATACAAAGGGGCTGGAAAGGCTAGGAGTGTGGATTGAAGTGTACGCTGCATAACAAAGCCCCACGTACAGAGCCCCACGCATGCCTCTGGCCCTCCCACCCTCCTATATTATGTCACTCCTGTGACTGGAAGGGTAACAAAGGACTTGAAACCAGAAGGGTATGGTTAAGGAGTGTGCACTGTTCATAACCGATTTGTGGTTGTTGCTGAAAAACTTGATGCCTAGTGCATCTGTGAAACACAAACTAAGGATCACATGAGCACAAGGCTATGCATGAACGGGGAAAAGGTGAGAGCTCACTCGTCTGTCAGCTCCTACAAATGCTGCAGTGTGATTTCCGTGTGCCCTGGGAGCCGTGCGCAGTACAGATACCACTCAAGGTATGCTCGAATGGCACTCAACTGCAGGCCTTTGAGCTTGTCCACGACCACAAAAATCAGCACCTGTGAATAAGGGGAAGGGAATACAAAGTTCAGGGTAAATACTGCTTTGACATGGAACGAGTAACACTTCAATCTTGGGAGGAGACGGGTGGTTGCAATCAAATTTTCACACTTGCTTGCAGGACAGATTGGCGCTCGAACACCACCACTTGGGCATCGAACACGAAGTACGTGGAGTTGGGGAGCCACAGATGAGTCATGCGAATGCCCTCTATAAGAGTTTTCAAGCGCCTGAGCATGACACAAACGAACATGGGTACGGAATACACAGGAAGTTTCCGATGCACTGCCCCACTCATATGTCACTCATATGAGTGCATGGGAGGGCAATGTATGGGCGACTGCATGATATGGAAGTGAAATGGTGAGTGCACGAGAGTGCAATGTAATGGGCGAGAGCATGACATGGAAGTGAAATGGTTTAGGGTAGGAGAGGGCAATGAAATGGGCGAGTGCATGATATGGCAGCGAAATGGTGAGTGAATGGGAGGGGAGTGAAATGGCGAGTGCATACGAGGACAGTGAAATGGGTAACTGCATGGGGGGGGTTTAAATGGGTGTGTGCATGAGATGGCAGAGAGGGTGGTGAGCACATGAGATGGCAGAGAGGGTGGTGAGAACATGAGATGGCAGAGAGGGTGGTGAACACATGAGATGGCAGAGAGGGTTGTGAGCACATGAGATGGCAGATAGCATGGCTTATCAGTGGGATGGCAAATAGGTGGGAGCGTTCATAACATTATAATTTCTAAAACCTAAACCCAGTTGCAATGAGAACGATGCCAAATTATAAGGACAAGAAAGCAAGCTTTCTCAATATGTCTTCCATCACACTTACATCCACGTCAAACATCGAACATTCCATCCCAATTGTTTTCCGCGGCTGCACTTGTACCACCTTGTACCAGTTTTCTTTGATCCATCTCTGTTGCACTGGAGTGCGTGAGATGTTTGGGGCTGACACAGCACACAAGTGATCCTGCACGGATGAGAGGTAGCACCATTGACTACAAAACTACGCCAATAATAAGATAAGTAGTTTCGATGTTATTGGATCCTAGTTTGACTGATGTCAAATCACCTAAACAACATACTCACATTCACACACCCACGCGCACAGCATGGGTATCACATGGTGCTCAACGCCATTTGGGTCCTTCATCATTCTAGGACAATGAGTGCATGGGAGTGTTCGCACTTGGTGAGTGCATTGGAATGGAGCATGGAATTTCCATACGAGGAAAACGACATTGTGGGCATTAGGTGCATGGAAGGACAAAAGGAATTGGTTGTGTGTAAGCAAAGAGAGGCAATCGGGGTTCGATTTGCAAACATCACCTTTTCAAGCCCTCAATGATGGGTTGTATCATGAGCTCCACGGCTTTGTGGAACAACTCCATGCTTGTGCGGAGCTCATGCCAGTCGGTGGTATGAGAAGATTTCCCAGGAGCACATGGCCAGAAGATGCACAGCATTTTCCTTGCGAGATGTTGACGATGCTCATCATCACCGGATGTGTCATTTTCCTACCATTGTTGCTAAGGTGTGTGACATCACTGTACAAAACCATGCGCCCATCCATGGAACCGAAGACGAGGAAGACATCGAGCAGATTATGTTCCCTGGAGAGCAAGCAAGGCTCGCACGTCAGAGCCAGGCGTCGACAATGGATGAGGATGCTGAGGCGGAGAGATCGTTGGAGCGGGGCAAGGGGAGAGCAATTGCGTCGCTAAATGCTCCGGCTGTCGCGGGACGTGGGAGCATGCTGCAGAACGCCAAACGTGTTGCTAGGAAACGTGGCCGTGAAGAAGAAATACCAGAGCAACCCCGGCAAGCGCGTGGAGTGGGGCGAGGCAGAGGGCGAGGTGGGGGCCACGGAGATGAGCGCGGAGGTGAGCGCGTGATAGGACGTGGCGGTGGTTGGGGCGGATGGCGAGGCGGTGGGCTGGGTGGAGGCTTGGGCGATGGGATAGACGAAGGGATAGGCGAAGGGAGGGGAGGAGGACGAGGGAGAGGGAGAGGCCAAGGGAGAGGTGGAGAGAGAGGAGGAGGGAGGGCCGGAGGTCGGGGAGGAGGGCGTGGCGATGGGACGGGTGGAGGACGCGTCGAAGGGAGAGAACGGGAAGTCAGGGGGTGACACGGGGCAAAGCCACTGACTCGAGGCTGCCGTGTCCTCCACGGGAGTGGCCTCTACACCCACACCCCCTGCACCCCCAGAGCCGACACCACCAGCTCCAGCAGCCCCAATACCCTCACCCTCCGCAGCTGCGCCTCCCTCACCCCCAGACACGACAGGGACTGGACACTGGGGGGGAGACGACTGCAGAGTGACGTCAGACACACCGGACGGGGCAGGACGCAAAGGGGGTGGGGCTACCGGGGTGACTGAGGGGGGCTCAAGGGTGAGGAACAGTAGGGGTGAAAAGGCCTCAAAGCCTCGGTGGTGGCGACTCCTGTAGTAGCAGACCGATTCGTCGAAGGTGATTCAGAGTCCATTCAGACTTTTTTTTTTTTACCTGGTCTGAACTGTAAGATTTTTTTTATGTACCTTCTCTGATTTTTCAGAGTTCTTTTTTATGCGGTGTCTGAAATATCAGGCAAATTTTATGGGTGTAGGCTGAGCCGCAGCCTTGTTTCGGGGGTGCACTCTGAAACGGGTACTGCAGGGGTTTCCGCGAGCCTGCGCCGTGTTGCACTAACACCGTCAATCACGGGCGAGAAATGAAACATTTCCTGAGCGCGGCACTGCACAGTCGCGTTGGGCCAGGAATGTTGTAATCTGGCTCAATTCTAGCCAATCGCGGCAGCGCAGCAGGCAGTGTTGGCAAGGTTCCTTGCCAACGCATAGCTCGCAGCGCGCTGCACCCGGACAACACCACAACCATCCACCCCCCTCCACCGTCCACCTTGCCGACGCATAGCTCGCAGCGCGCTGCAACTCTCACGTCACCACATCCACCCCCCCCACTCACCCCACCTTCCCTGCACACACGACCAGGTGCCGTGAATGCAGTGACTACCAGGGAGATGAGCGGTCCAAATACGAGGACCTCTCATGTTCCTCATTGTCGCCCTTCTTGGGGGTCACTCGGTGCCCTGTGTCTCTCGCTTCATTCAATTTCCTCGCTAGAAACCAGTGCTGGAACCCTTGTTTCTGGCTCTCTCTCCTCACCCTTAGCAAAACCAGAGCTCGGCAAACTCAATGGCAGCCACAGACGCTGCCGCCGAAGCCCCGACGATGATGACGATACCGATTGTCACCTTGCTTCAGACGCTTTGACCGGCCTGGACTTTCTTAGATCATGTTTACTGAATCATGTTCCACCGACTGCTCCACCTTCGCTACCTAGCACTAGCCGTCCTCCGGTTTCCGTGCACTCTGAACCCCTGCCCACGGCCGTCACTGAACCAGTCATAGCTGCGCCACAGTCTGTGCCCCATGAGGCGTCCGCTGAAGCAGCGTCCCGTCCCGCGCCACCGACGAAGCTGCGGTACCGACAGACCACGTTTCCGTGGGCAACTCCTCCTCCTCCATCGACCGTTGAAGCTCTAGAAGAAACGAATCTCCCATGCAGGGCAGCTCAAAGCCCACTGACAAATCTGACTCCGACAAGTTGGGGTTGACATACGAAGAAGCTCAATTTCGTTTTAAAACAAAGTGGTCTACCGAGTACGGGTGGCTGGTACTAACTAAAACCTCTTCTGGTGCCCCTAGTTTTAAGTGCACCATATGCCTGGAGTTCGCGGGACTTGCAGGCAAGTGTGGACGGCGTGGTGAGGGCGCGACCGACGTGCAGACGCAGGCCTTCAAGAAGCATGAAGGGACGGTGAAGCATTGTTTTGCACTGCAGCGGCAGGAGGACCTCCTCCAGAAGTATGGGCGACTGCAGTGCGTCGACCTACACCCGAAAGCGCAGGACAAGGAGATGTTGCAGATTTCGGCGCTAGTGGAGTCGCTGTACTTCATGAGCTCGTGCAACAAGCCCATGGACGCTTGGATTCGGCTTGTGCGCTACCTGGCGAAGAAGAAGGTGCCCGAGTTTCCAGAGCAGGGCTACGGCACGTACT